TATTGGCATACAGTACGTGTACGTTCATACGTGGTCATCCCAGAGGTGAGACTGCGCGCAGAGGTTATTGGAGTTAAACATTAAGGAGGAAAAAAATGTTTGATTAGACTGTAAGCAGGTGCTCTTATCTGTAAGCTTAATTAAAACTCCATGTATCGTTCACTGTGTGTGGTGTGTGTGTGTGTGTGTGTGTGTGTGTGTGTGTGTGTGTGTGTGTGTGTGTGTACGTGTGTGTGTGTGTGTGTGTGTACGTGTGTGTGTGTGTGTGTGTGTGTGTGTGTGTGTGTGTGTGTGTATGTATGTGAGTGTGTGTGTGTATGTGTGTGTGTGTGTGTGTGTATGTGTGTGTGTGTGTGTATGTTTGTGTGTGTGTGTGTGTGTGTGTATGTGTGTGTGTGTGTGTGTATGTGTGTGTGTGTGTGTGTGTGTGTGTGTGTGTGTGTGTGTGTACGTGTGTGTGTACGTGTGTGTGTGTGTGTGTATGTACGTGTGTGTGTGTGTGTATGTGTGTCTGTGTGTCTGTGTCTGTGTCTGTGTGTCTGTGAGTACTCACCTAGTTGTACTCACCTAGTTGTGGTTGCAGGGGTCGATTCATAGCTCCTGGCCCCGCCTCTTCACTGGCCGCTACTGGGTCACTCTCCCTGAACCATGAGCTTTATCATACCTCTGCTTAAAGCTATGTATGGATTCTGCCTCCACTACATCGCTTCCCAAACTATTCCACTTCCTGACTACTCTGTGGCTGAAGAAATACATCCTAACATCCCTGTGATTCATCTGTGTCTTCAACTTCCAACCGTATCCCCTTGTTGCTGTGTCCCATCTCTAGAACATCCTGTCTTTGTCAACCTTGTCAATTCCTCTCAGTATTTTGTATGTCGTTATCATATCCACTCCCTATCTCTCCTGTCCTCCAGTGTCGTCAGGTCGATTTCCCTTAACCTCTCCTCGTAGGACATACCCCTTAGCTCTGAGACTAGTCTTGTTGCAAACCTTTGCACTTTCTCTAGTTTCTTTACGTTCTTGGCTAGATGTGGGTTCCAAACTGGTGTCGCATTCTCCAATATGGGCCTAACGTACACAGTGTACAGGGTCCTGAACGATTCCTTAAGATCGCGGAATGTTGTTCTTAGGTTTGCTAGGCGCCCATATGCTGCAGCAGTTATTTGGTTGATGTGCACCTCAGGAGATGTGCCTGGTGTTATACTCACCCCAAGATCTTTTTCCTTGAGTGAGGTTTGTAGTCTCTGGTGCCCTAGACTGTACTCCATCTGCGGTCTTCTTTGCCCTTCCCCAATCTTCATGACTGCACTTGGAGGGGTTGAACTCCAGGAGCCAATTGCTGGACCAGGTCTGCAGCCTGTCCAGATCCCTTTGTAGTTCTGCCTGGTCCTCGTCCGATTGAATTCTCATCAACTTCACATCATCTACAAACAGGGACACTTCGGAGTATATTCCTTCCGTCATGTCGTACACGAATACCAGAAGCAGCACCGGTCCTAGGACTGACCCCTGTGGAACCCCACTCGTCACAGGCGTCCACTCTGACACCTCACCTCGTACCATGACTCGCTGCTGTCTTCCTGACAGGTATTCCCTAATCCATTGTAGTGCCTTCCCTGTTAACCCTGCCTGGTCCTCCAGTTTTTGCATTAATCTCTTGTGTGGAACTGTGTCAAATGCCTTCTTACTGCTGTCTTATCTTATCTTACTGCTGTCATCCTGTCATAGAACTCCAGTAGGTTTGTGACAAAGGATTTCCCGTCCCTAAAACCGTGTTTGCTGTTGTTGATAAGCTCATTTATTTATAGGTGTTCTACCACTCTTCTCCTGATAATCTCCATAACTTTGCATTCTATACATGTCATTGACACTGGTCTATAGTTTAGTGCTTCTTGTCTGTCTCTTTTTTTTTTTAAATTGGGACTATATTTGCTGTCTTTCATACCTCATATAATCTCCCTGTTTCGATAGATGTGTTGAATATTGTTAGGGGTACACAGAGCGCCTCTGCTCCCTCTCTCAGGACTCATGGAGAGATGTTATCCGGTCCCATCGCCTTTGAGGTGTACAGCTCGCTCAGCAGCCTCTTCACTTCTTACTCGGTTGTATGTATTGTGTCCAACACTTGGTGGTGTACCCCACCTCTCCGTCTTTCTGGAGTCTCTTCTGTCTCCTCTGTGAACATTTCTTTGAATCTCATGTTGAGCTCCTCACATTCTTCTAGGTCGTTTCTTGTGATCTCTCCTCCTTCCTTCTTTAGCCTGATTACCTGGTCCCTGACTATTGTTTTCCTCGTGATATGACTGTATAACAGCTTTGGGTCAGATTTGGCTTTCGCTGCTATGTCATTTTCATATTGTCGTTGGGCCTCCCTTCTTACCTGTGCATATTCATTTCTGACTCTACGACTACTCTCCTTATTCTCCTGGGTCCTTTGTCTTCTATACTTCTTCCATTCCCTAGCACACTTGGTTTTGGCCTCCCTGCACCTTTGGGTGAACCACGGGCTCACCCTGCCTTTTTCATTATTGCTGTTACCCTTGGGTACAAACCTTTCCTCAGCTTCCTTGCATATTGTTGTCACGTATTCCATCATCTCGTTTACTGACTTCCTTGCCAGTTCTCTGTCCCACTGAACCCCGTTCAGGACGTTCTTCATTCCCACGTAGTCCCCCTTCTTGTAGTTTGGCTTTATTCGTCCGGCTCTTCCTGCTCCCCCCCCCCTCCACTTGTAATTCTACTGTGTATTCGAATCTTAAAACCACATGATCGGTGGCTCCAAGGGGTCTTTCATATGTGATGTCCTCAATATCTGCACTACTCAGGGTGAATACTAGGTCCAGTCTCGCTGGTTCATCTTCTCCTCCCTCTCTGGTAGTGTCTTTTACGTGTTGGTACATGAAGTTTTCCAGTACCACCTCCATCATCTTAGCCCTCCACGTTTCTTGGCCCCCATGTGGATCCAAGTTCTCCCAAACGATTTCCTTGTGGTTGAAGTCACGCATGATCAATAGTGTGTGTGTGTGTGTGTGTGTGAGTATCATAGTTTGGGAGGGGGATAGTACATGTATAGGTAACAATGTAATTGTTTAGGGAATTCTACTGTTATTACTAATATATCATAGTTAATACAACTATCATACTGAGTCACAAAGCAACATTGAAAGTATCTGCCAACCTACCTACCTATCTATTTACCTCCCAGCCTCCTTCCCTATCTACCCATCCACCCACCTACCTATCTACCCACCAACCTACCCACCCTCCAACCTACCTACCCTCCTACCTACCTACCCGCCTCTCTCCCTATCTACCTACCTACCTACCCACCCACCTACCCACCTACCTACATACCTATCTACTTACCTACCCGCCTCCCTCCCTACCAACCTACTTACCTACCAACCTACTTATCCAACTACCTACCTGCGCACCAGCCTACCTACCTACCTACTTACCTACTTACCTAATACATGACTACCTACCTACCTCCTTAACTCCGTCTTCATCCCCCGTTTTTCTCTCAACTCCTCCATCATCCCTTTCACTTTCTCTCACATTTTCCCTCCTGCTTCAAGGTGAGGGAAATCCCCGTAATAGCAGACAAATTTTCCTACTGTTAAACGTTCGCGAATTCGCTTCCATGGGGAGACAAAATCCTCCTCTTACCAGGGAAGACAAAAGTCTTTTCCTCCCCAGTGCGTCCAGCATCCTCCTCTTGAATGATGCATCCTTCCTTTCATTATCTTTTCCTCTCCTCTCCTTACTCTTCCACTTAGCTATTCTACCTCTTGACTATTTCCTCACCATTTCCAGTTCGCAGTCTCCCATCCCTCCTCCTCATGACAACAATGAACAGCTGATCATCAAATAATTTTCACTGTCTAACCTCCTCTTTTACCCCTCCCACCAGCTTCGTCTCTCCTTCAATTTTCCCCTCTCCTACCTCCCTTCACCTTCCTCCTCTCACCCTCCTTCTTCCTTTTCCTCTTCTCTCCCTCCGTTCACTTTCTTCCATCATCAGTTTTTGAAGCTGCCGTAGTTAGTGAACTCACAGTTGAATGTTTAACGATATCATTATCGTCTTGTTGAAGTCTTCCACCTCAGTTGAGGAATGAGACATTTTTGCAGCATTTGGGAATCTTTAACGGGGAATCTGTCAGCTCAGTCCATAACTCCACAATGGAAACTCATCCTATGTGACGGAATATAGGGCGATAGTTTCCGTTTCTTCAGACTATGTAACTCACAGAGTAAGGTAGTAGCACCCTGCTTATCTTCCCAGTTTTATTTAATAAATACGCTTCTAATATATACTGCACATGTGTAGTGGATTGTACAACAATGGTTGACCAACACAGTGTACTATTGTCTAACTTTACTGCAGACACAAGATTATTAACTTTAATTTTTAATTCGTGAAGCGCTAATTCTGTGCGCAGAGTCGTGGAGACTCGATCCTCCTCCTGTTAACTGCAGCCCAGTCAGAGACTACTGGGCTCTACAGTAGTTCACGGGAGGAGGGAATAAATTGCAAGAACGTAAAATTGGAGGAACTCTACAGTAGACCTACTGGCAGATCTATAGCTGGGACCTACTGGTAGGTCCTATTGCTGGGAAATACTGGTAGTTCCTACTGCTTGGTCCTCTTTACACACACACACACACACACACACACACACATATTTATATATATAATATATATATATATATATATATATATATATATATATATATATATATATATATAATATATATATATATATATATATATACATATATATATATATATATATATATATATATATATATATATATATATATATATATATATATATATATATACATATATATATATATATATATAATATATATATATATAATATATATATATATATATATATATATATATATATATATATATATATTGTCATGAAGGGTCCATCAACAATGTTTGTTTTTTTAACAAATCTCCAGTGTGCCAGTGAGTGGGTTATCACAAGACCTGAGTCAGATGATTTTCCCCTGATGAGCTGCGTCATCAACCTACGTCCTCATACACACGAAGACGTCAACACAGGATTGCCTTATACTGCATTCGTATCTTCTATCCATCGTGTAAGTATAATTTTATATCATATTCCTCTAGACTGGATAGAGGTCTTCCCGTACTGATTAGAAACGCTGACTGAGAAACGTTGTCTCTCAAAGGACACATTTCATGTGTAAGGTATCAGTCATGATAAGTATGGGGACCTTATTTTTTACGCCTTTTGCGTATCCACATGTTTTTGCTCTACCTTCCGTAGGATGGTTATGGGATGCACAGTAAACTAGCCGCTTCGGCGGCAAAATCTAATCATGTTCGAGTAGCGCTGTATGACCCTGGTGGGTTTAGCGCTTTGTTTTGATAATAATAATAATAATAATAATAATAATAATAATAATAATAATAATAATAATAATAATAATAATAATGTTGGAAAAGGAGATACGAATGCTGTATAATGCGATCCTTTATTGATAACGTATCGCACACAGCGGACTTTATTAAGTCACAAACAAATCTACCTGGAAAGTGACAGTTGTTTTATTCTTTAAGTGACAGAACAAGTGTCTCCTGACTCGTGTGTTAATCATACAGATGACCTGGAGAGAAGGAAAGAGAACGAGCTCAAGATATTAACTTCACTTATATTAACAAGGAAGGTACTGTGTGGGAAAAAATATCTCAAGATTTGCATTTCAGGGAGATTTTAGGCCTTATTAAAATTAGAGAACCGAGAAGTAGATAATTGAAATACTTGTAAAATACTTGGGTATCGTTATTGTGAAAACGTTGGATGACGAGACGTTATGACGGTAAAGATACCCTAGTACTGCACAAGTATTTCACTTAAGGATGACCTTAAATGAAGGGAAAGAAAAATTATTTGATGGTCCTCTTGCTAGAACAGTGTTCAGTTTACTGTTGACTAGCAGTGTAGAAGGCTTCCTTCACAACATTGTTGACTAGCACTGTAGAAGGCTTCCTTCACAATACTGTGACTAGCAGTGCAGAAGACTTCCTTCACAACATTGTTGACTAGCAGTGTAGAAGGCTTCCTTCACAACATTGTTGACTAGCAGTGTAGAAGGCTTCCTTCACAACATTGTTGACTAGCAGTGTAGAAGGCTTCCTTCACAATACTGTGACTAGCAGTGTAGAAGGCTTCCTTCACAACATTGTTGACTAGCAGTGTAGAAGGCTTCCTTCACAACATTGTTGACTAGCAGTGTAGAAGGCTTCCTTCGCAACATTGTTGACTAGCAGTGTAGAAGGCTTCCTTCACAACATTGTTAACTAGCAGTGTAGAAGTCTTCCTTCACAACATTGTTGACTAGCAGTGTAGAAGACTTCCTTCACAACATTATTGACTAGCAGTGTAGAAGGCTTCCTTCACAACATTGTTGACTAGCAGTGTAGAAGACTTCCTTCACAACATTATTGACTAGCAGTGTAGAAGGCTTCCTTCACAACATTGTTGATTAGCAGTGTAGAAGACTTCCTTCACAACATTATTGACTAGCAGTGTAGAAGGCTTCCTTCACAACATTGTTAACTAGCAGTGTAGAAGTCTTCCTTCACAACATTGTTGACTAGCAGTGTAGAAGACTTCCTTCACAACATTATTGACTAGCAGTGTAGAAGGCTTCCTTCACAACATTGTTGACTAGCAGTGTAGAAGACTTCCTTCACAACATTGTTGACTAGCAGTGTAGAAGACTTCCTTCACAACATTATTGACTAGCTGTGCAGAAGATTTTCCTCGCGATACTATGTAAAGAAAATCCATAAAAGCCAAGCAGTGTGACTTATTTCCATAAGGGTCCTCAGCCCTATGACGTAAAAAAAAAAAAAAAAAAAAAAAAAAAAAAAAAAAAAAAAAAAAAAAAAAAAAAAAAATACTTAGCTGTATAGCCCTTGTGGCTTAGCGCTTCTTTTTGATTATAATAATAATAATAAAAAAATACTTAGCCATACGTGTTAAACCCTCCAGGAGATCAAACCCTGGTCGTTCAAGTTATGAGCTGAACGCTCGACTTGCATTAAACCGGTGGAGGATATTCCAGTAACGGAACACTGAGAGTCACCACATGGATAATATAAAAAGAGAACAGAGAATGACAGATACGGAGGGAGGGAAGACAAGAGATTCGGGACAGAAGTTGGAGAGAGGGAAGGAGAGAAGAGACAGTGAATGTGAGAAAGATAGAAGGACATAGGTCAAGGAAGGGGGTCAGTGGAAGTATTTATGTTGTAGGCACACAGACACTAGTGTTGGAAAAACATTCTTTCATTGTTATTAGCAAAATTAGATACATCGGCAATGTGCTGCTGCTACCTTAATCCATTTGGTTACATAGAAGGAAGAAAAGAGGAGGGAGGGTGTGGAGAAAGAGAAAAAGAAAAAGAGGAGGAGAGGGGTAGGAGAGGAGGTGCTTATCGCTCATATCTTCTTTCATAATTAATTAGGCACAAACTTTAAAAAAAATTGTGCCATATAAGAGATTCTTGATTTGGACGTTGTTAATAATTCTTCCTAGACCGAGGTCAGACGCCGATACTCGAAGCTACAAATTTAACTGTAAGAATAAAACAATCATACTACCGTAAGTGGAACAGTTCACCAAAATCCTGCGCTTATAAGGACCTTTATGACGACGTTTCAGTCCATCCTTAACCATTATCAGGTCACATTGAAGCCACTTGCGTAGCCTGACAATGGGCCAGGATAGACCGAAACGTCGTCACAAAGTTTCTCAGCTAAGCGCGGAGCTTGGTGAATAATTACATGAGTGGAAATCCCATCCAAAAATTAGCACGTCACCCAGCAAGCCACACAGAACACGGAAAGCCACTCAAATCGCCCAACAAACCAAACAACCCGATTAGATATGCCGTCTCAGAAGCTCACCAAACTTGCAATAAAAAATCACTGAAATCGGACTATTTTTTCCTAGTTACTCCCCCAGTGGACCACTTAACCCAGGAGGCGAGGTTATAGTATCTCACCTGCCAATCTGCATAACCTCTGTTGAAAGGCGAGTAGCTGACCAGAAAGATAACAAAAACACAAGCAAAGGTTACAGATGAGAGGAATACACTGCCAGGTAAAATAATTGAAGGCAACACCTCAAGCAGCTTCAGAGAATATAGGTTAAACAAATATTTAAGTGACAAGGGTTTTATTTGAGAAGGAAATTAATGAGATAGGTGTGCAACGTTTTGGTAACTTTGTTGCCTTCTTCAGTCGAAATATAGAGGAGACAGCAGAAGTTGTGGACATGTAGATATGAGGTGATCAGTCCCTAAGCCTGGTAAAGAAATAAGTTTAAGGAAATCGGTCCCTCTGTTTCGAAGTATTTAGCTTCATTGCTTTATAGTTTCAAAACTATGAGCTTTTGAAGCTTTTAAAGACTAAAGGACTGATCACCTCAGACCTACAGCTCTACGACTTCTGCTGCCTCCTCTGCATTTCGACTGAAGAAGCCTACTAAGCAGGCGAAACGTCTCGTCGATAAAGATACCAAGCTGTTGCACATGTGTCTTACACTCACCCTATTGCAGTGTCCACCATTTTTTTATTCTTATGTAGCAGAACAAAACTTTACTGAGACATCGTTTCGCTCTAATGAGCAACACGTTTTACCATGAAAAGCTTGTTCGGATACATGGATCGTTGTCTTCACTGCAAAAGCTTCACTGAAATCCACATAATCTTCATAACAATATCACATAGATGCCAGTAGTGTCCAAAAGCACCTATATAATCCACATGTCAAATAACGCCTATATAATCCATCTGTCAAATAACGCCTGTATGACCCACCTGTCACACAACACTCATATAAAACAAGTTACACAACATAAACCACCCTGGAAGCAACAAGTCACTCAAACACACACTCAAACATATACTCAAACACACTCTCGTACACACACACATGCAGTCAAATTCACTCAAATACATTCAAACACGCAATCAAGATAATAAAAACACACTTTCAAACACGAACTCAAAGTAAACACTCAAACACGCTCAAACAAGTTCTCAGTCTAGGCAACAGGCGACTAAGGAAGAGCAAAGGAATCTGTGCTGAGGAGCCAGATTCAAAGTGCCTGAGTTAAGGAACCAGATAAAAGTAGTCAGAGCCAAGGAGCTTGAGCAACAGAGCCAGGGATCAAGGAACCACAGCCAAAGAGCAATAATACACTGCAATGGGTCGAGGGACGTGCTACTAGTCAGAGACGCGAGACTCCCAGCCATGCACTGCAGTGGGTCGAGGGACGTGCTACTAGTCAAAGAGAAGCGAGACTCCCAGCCATGCACTGCAGTGGGTCGAGGGACGTGCTACTAGTCAAAGAGAAGCGAGACTCCCAGCCATGCACTGCAGTGGGTCGAGGGACGTGCTACTAGTCAAAGAGAAGCGAGACTCCCAGCCATGCACTGCAGTGGGTCGAGGGACGTGCTACTAGTCAAAGAGAAGCGAGACTCCCAGCCATGCACTGCAGTGGGTCGAGGGACGTGCTACTAGTCAAAGAGAAGCGAGACTCCCAGCCATGCACTGCAGTGGGTCGAGGGACGTGCTACTAGTCAAAGAAAAGCGAGACTCCCAGCCATACACTGCAGTGGGTCGAGGGACGTGCTACTAGTCAAAGAGAAGCGAGACTCCCAGCCATACACTGCAGTGGGTCGAGGGACGTGCTACTAGTCAAAGAGAAGCGAGACTCCCAGCCATGCACTTCAGTGGGTCGAGGGACGTGCTACTAGTCAGACAACACTGGCAGTCCCGGCCGGAGCCTCGTCACATCCGCTCTCATTAACTGTAATTCCCGACATTCCCTCCTGTAAACAGCACATCTTTTCCTCTAAGCGTGCTAGACTCGTTCATCATTTTTGCACTTGAGACAATCGTGATAAATAAAAGTCGATCCTAGCTATGAACCCTTTCGACTCATTCTATAATTGTCCCACAAAGGATGTTTCGATTGCACATGAACTATTGCAAACTCTATGAAGCATCTCGAATTGTATGAACAGCTCCATCAAGGGAAGTTTGACTTTATGTATTGC